TCCCCTCTCTCACCCCTGCCTCGCCACAGCCCCGAGCGCTCCCTCCACCTCCGGAACTCCGCTCAAATCCCGGCCTGAGGAGACTCGAACGCTCCCGGCCGCTCCCGGAGCCGCCGCCATCGCTGCGCTTCTTCCCCGCCCTCCCCGTGAGGCGCCGACCAATCAGAGAAAAGCGCGCCTTTCAAACAGCCAATCAGAGCGCGAGTTGCGGTTTGTCCCGCCCCCCACGTGGGGCGGTGGCCAATCAGGGAAAAGCGCGGTTGTGCTGTCAATCAAATGGGGAGTGATGGGATTGGGTGGTTGGGCTGTCAATCAAAGTGAGGAGCCGCCCACTCAGGGAAAAGCCCGCCTTCCGCGCGGCCAATGGGAGAGCGCGGTTTTGCTGTCAATCAAACGGCGAGTGATCGGATTGGGTAGTGCGGCTGTCAATCAAAGTGAGGAGCCAATGGGAGAGCGAGGAGCGGTGGTGGAGGAGGAGGAGGGGAAATGGCGGCGGAGGCGGGAAAAGGGGAGCCCTCAGCGCGGCCCAGTTCGGACCAGTTTGGACCAGTAACCCCTAAACCCTCCCAGTGCCCTTTAAACCCCTCCCAGTTTGGCCTAAACCCCTCCCAGTCCCTCCCAGTGACCCCTAAACCCCTCCCAGTTTGGCCTAAACCCCTCCCAGTTTAACCCAGTCCATCCCAGTTTGTCCCAGTGACCCCTAAACCCCTCCCAGTCCCTCCCAGTAACCATTAAACCCCTCCCAGTTTGCCCCAGTTTGTCCCAGTTTGGCTTAAACCCCTCCCAGTCCCTCCCAGTTTATCCCAGTCCCTCCCAGTGCCCTTTAAACCCCTCCCAGTCCATCCCAGTTTGTCCCAGTGCCCCTCCAATCCCCTCCCAGTTCCTCCCAGTGCCCTTTAAACCCTTCCCAGTTGATCCCAGTTGATCCCAGTTTGTCCCAGTTTGTCCCAGTTTCCTTTAAACCCCTCCCAGTTTATCCCAGTGACCCCTAAATCCCTCCCAGTCCCGCCCAGTTTGTCCCAGTGCCCCTCCAATCCCCTCCCAGTCCCCTCCCAGTCCCTCCCAGTGCCCTTTAAACCCCTCCCAGTCCCTCCCAGTTTGTCCCAGTTTGTCCTAAACCCTTCCCAGTCCATCCCAGTTTGTCCCAGTTTGTCCCAGTTTGTCCCAGTTTGTCCCAGTTTGTGGAGGGGCGGTGTCGGGGGTGGGGGAGGGGCGCTCCCAGTCCCTCCCAGTGCCCTTTAAACCCCTCCCAGTCCATCCCAGTTTGTCCCTGTGCCCCCCAAACACTTCCCAGTCCTTCCCAGTAACCCCTAAACCCCTCCCAGTCCCTCCCAGTTTGTCCCAGTGACCCCTAAACCCCTCCCAGTTTGTCCCAGTGCCCTCCAATCCCCTCCCAGTGCCCTTTAAACCCCTCCCAGTTTGTCCCAGTTTGTCCCAGTGCCCTTTAAACCCTTCCCAGTCCATCTCAGTCCCTCCCAGTTTGTCCCAGTGCCCGCTAAACCTTTCCCAGTCCTTCCCAGTGACCCCTAAACCCCTCCCAGTCCATCCCAGTTTGTCCCAGTGCCCTCCAATCCCCTCCCAGTGACCCCTAAACCCCTCCCAGTTTGTCCTAAACCCCTCCCAGTCCCTCCCAGTGCCCTTTAAACCTTTCCCAGTTTATCCCAGTCCATCCCAGTTTGTCCCA